TGAACAAATCAAATGAACAGTAGCCGTGTTTCCATCAACGTTCAAAATGCGCATTTTGAAGTATTGCATCAGAAAAGGTGAATGGAAACGGAACGCAAAAAAGTTGATACGCTCGTTTACTAGTTTTATTCTTTTTTTTTCAACTAGCAACTTAACAGATTCCTGTTTTGTTATATTTTATAAATATGTCCAAGTTTAATAATGTGAGAGAAATCCACATTTTTCTGTTCATTCAGTCAGTGTTTACTCACACAGCTGGCACAATGAATTGTTAAAATACTGTACTTTTTTATTTAGTGTGTACAAAATTAGCCCTTCATGTTATAGAAAGACTCTTGATTCAAGAGAAACGTTGGGTTTTTAGGAAAATTGCAGCTTATCAATTAATCATTAGTCGATCGATAAGATCAGTCAACTTTAGATTAATCCATTAATCGATAAGTTGCATCCCTAGTTCAGACAACCCCTTTTTAGATGGAGCCCCCTCCTCAAATACTGGGTCTATTGTAAAACCGTTGGCTGGTGCAGTGTAGGTGGGACTCATCTACATTCCTGCCAAATTTCATGTTGCTCGGTGCAGATGTGCTACGGTTGACCAAAAATCGCGCGCGGGGGCCATGATAATGGTATAATAAAATGTAGAATTATTTTAGTTTAAAGCAGTGTTTTACAAAAAAAAAACATTTTCAAGAGTTCATGACTCGCTCTCCTTTGTTCTTGGAGTCGATCATTGTTTTTGTGCCACTGTAGCTTGGTAGTTTTGCTGCAGATTGAGGATCTCTGAAGTCTCGTCGTGACTCAGGCTGAAAACGTTGAAAAGCTTCATCCCACAGCCGAGTTGTGGGAAGCATGAAACCAGCCCTGCTGGAGCAGTATATTGATCATCTTTGTGCAAAATGTTGACACACAGCAAAACTCCACAGAGTCGGCTCACCTGCGATGCACCAAACCGAATCATCGGAGACCCTTCATGTTTACTGCCCCCCGGCTGCAAAACAATGAGACACAAAAGCTACAGCAACACTTGGGGGAAAAAAAAGAAAAAAAAGGAAGGGAGACGGTTTGTGTATGTGGATACACGGACAGTTTATCTTAAATAAAATGCAATGACTTACTTTACCTTCACATAAACTCGGAAAAACTCCCACATTTCAGCCTTTAGATTTTCTTTTCTGGGCTGTTGCAGATGAAAGCGGGGCAGGAATCACGCAGCTTCAACATTCTCACTTGCAAATCCAGGGATGACAGGGTTCCTCCGTTAGCTTCAATTATGAATGACAGCCTTTTATCTGCTGCCTGCTAATTAGGTGAGATGATGCTGTTTGCTCACACCAACTTCTCTTCCCTCCTTTTTTTGGTCTCTTAGATACCTGCATTCAGGCTTTCTAGAGGAGCAGATAAATGAGGAGGAGAGAGAGGAAAAAAAGGGTCAGAACAAATTATCTTGGTGTTCAAAGGAGTTCGGTTTAATGGACAGTAGGGGAACCACAAAACAAAACAAAAAAATAGGTTTACTGTATATCAAAAAGAGAGACAATAACGGCAAGGCTGCCATGGACAGACGACAGCTGCTTGAATGTTCAAAGAAAAACATTTTG